ATATTTCTTTTTTGAAAAATGTGTATGAGTGCGTTGCCTGCATGTATATAAGTGCACCTGTGTCATGCAATACATCGGAGGCCAGAAGAGGTGTTGTATCCTCTGAAACTGGAGTTATAGATGGGTGTTTGCCACTATGTGGGTGCTGGGAATTGAACCTGGGTCCTCTGCAAGAGCAGCCAGTGTTCTTAACTGATGGGCCATCTCTCTAGACCCTTTTTTTATTTTTTAAAAATATTTTATTTATTATTTTGAGATATTTCTTGTAAAAATACAATAAACGGGATAAAAATATACCTAAGCAACTTCCTTCCTTCCTTCCTTCCTTCCTTCCTTCCTTCCTTCCTTCCTTCCTTCCTTCCTCCCCCCCCCTTCCTGTCTTCTTTCTTCTTGAGACAGGGTCTTAACTGTAGCCTAGGCTGGTCTTGAACTCACTGTGACCCTCCTCAGTTTGGGATTACAGGTGTGTGCCATTGTACCCAACTCAAAGTTACTTTCTTTTCTTTTTGAAACGGTCTCCCTGTAGCTCCAGCTAGCCTGGAACTTGCTAAGTAGACCACGCTGAACTGGATCTCACAGAGATCCACATGCTTCTGCCTCTGAAGAGCTGGGATTAAAGGTGTGCACCACCACACCTGGCAAATGGCCTGCTTTTGACACATTAATCTTTCTATGGAAAACTCATTTATTTTTTTCCCTTTGCTTGACTACTACAATTTCTTTGAACCAGTAACATAAGAAGAAAACACCAGGCACTGAGACCTGTCAGAAGAAAAAGGCCATCTTCCCTACTATGTGTTCTTCCATTTGAAAGTGCTCTGTGAAGTAAGTCAGGACAGAAGCATTAACTGGGGATGGTAGAGATCAGAAATGAGGACTGAGAGCTAAATTTGAAATGTAGGCTGGACAACTGAAAAGAAAAATGGATTAAAAAAAACCCCCTCTGTACTTTTAGTTGTTTTTCCTTTGGAAAATATGATTAGATTAAATAATGGGCTATCAGTGAAACACTGACCTTTATTAGTTTAAAAAGCATGGAGTTAACGGGCTGGAGGCTCAGAGGTTAAGGGCTACTTACTCTCTGGGTCCCACAATGAGGATCTGGACCCTGCATTACCCAGGGTCCCCCATTTCCCATCTGTGGCAGGTTGCGTTCCCGGCACCCACATCTACCATCTAACAATCATCTGTCTGTAACTCTAGTTCCAGGGGCTTGGACACCCTCTTCTGGCCTCTGTGGTCACTGTATACACATAGTGTACTTACATATACACAAGCAAGGAAGACACTCATACACATAAGATAAAGATAGATTTAAAACAACAGCAAAAACAACAATCACTTACACAGGCGATTCTTGTTCCCTCACTGGATGGCCTAGTGGACTTGGTTGTTCTGAGACACTCAAGCAGCACTAGGTGCCTCCCACCCCACTTCCTGTCTGCACAGGTAAAAAGATACTGCTCTACCCAAGTACTCCTCAGAGACCGTTTGCTAAAGCCAATTTCTTTAGTTATCACAGAAAATAGTGGGTTTCTTGATGACATCTTCACACACACATATTGCACTTTGCTCATAGTCACTCTTCTGTTACCCTCCCTGGCCTGTTTACTGACCTCTTACTTGTCTTCTCCCTCCCCTGTGTAGTCTCTTTGCTTGTGTTTCATTTAGATTCTGCACATGAAAGAAAACACACTGTATCTGGCTTTCGCCCCCCATCGTTCCATCATGTTCCCAGCTCTTCCTCCCTTTATAGACTCCTTCCTTCCACATGGTCCCCTCGGCTTTCAGGCCTCGCATGTGCGCGCGCATGTGCGTGTATGTATATTTTGGTTTTTAAAATTTCCTTTTAAAACTCTAGATTCTGCATCTGAGAAAAAGCATGCAATGGTTTCTGAAATTCATCTATTCCTGAAGCAGCCTAATCCTGCCCTTGTGGTGGTTGCTGGCTTAGTCTGAGTTTCAGTGATTAGGGGTGAGCCTCTAGAGTCAGGCTTCCTCTGTCCAAATACTGGCATTACCCTCCAATGGGTATGGGCCTTAGGAAGACTACTGACTTTCTGAGACTCAGTTTTTATATATTTTTAAAAACCGTATTATCTACAGATACTGCTTTATGTCAACTACGGCACACAGGAAGAGAATAAGCTCTTTTTTGTCCCCTAGTACTTGATGATTTAATATCTACTTTTCAAGATGCCATACACTTCTCATTTGTGCCACTTAATCTTTGTAACACCTAAGCACAGTCACTTATCGCTGGCCTCACTTGCAGAAGAGCCAGTGCAGGCTCAATGGGTTCAGAACCTGAACAGGCCTTTGCAGCTTCTGACAGGAGAGCTGAATTTCCAATGCGGAACGGAACACCACAGTCTGGGCCAATCCCTGTTTGAATAGTTTATGGTGCACGTCTACAAAAGCTAGGATTTTCTAAATGATTGATTCTACTGGAATATTATCACCTCAGTTCTATAGTAAAAACCCTGAGGTCATGAGTTGATCATTTTATAGAGTGTAAACAAAAAAAAAAAGACTCGTGGAAGTGGACAGAAAGTGAAGCCTCTGACCTAATGAGATGGTGATGATCTATGGATGTGACTAGCTAGTGGTGGCACAAGGGTGGCAGTCTACACAACTGTGAGTAGAGGCTTTCCCTACCTTTGAACGACCTTCTTGCTTAACTTTTTCTTTTTTTTTTAATTGTTTGAGTGTTTTGTCTGCATGTATGCAAGTGGATCATGAGCATGCAATGCCCACAGAGGCCAGGAGAGCAATGTTGGTACCCTGGAACTGGAATTACAGTTGTTAGCTGCCATGTGGATGCTGGGAACTGAACCCAGGTCCTCTGCAAGAGTAGCCAGTGTATTTAACCACTCAGCCAGCCCCTTAAATTCTTATTCATGTTTCTTTTCTGCCTGCCTTTAGTTTTTCCAAGCTGTTTCTTAATGTTTTTTTTTTCTTTTGCTACAGGATAGGATAATATAATCAACATTGTAATATATACCAGATATAGGTTGATTTTCAAGTTGTTCAGCCCAAGAAGATAGAAGATTTCTGGTAATTAATGGCACAGACCTGAGGATTACTCAAAACGACTGACTGAGAGGGCTCAGACCCAACGTTCTCTTGAAGTTGTGTGATTTTTGCTGAGATAACAGAAATTCAAGAACAATGACCTGTTTACTTACTGAAACAAGACCACTGACTTCACCTTGTTTACCCTAAGTCATTTGTTTGACCTGGTGAGTCTTGGGCCACAAAAGAATTTGGTCAGTATGTTGAAAAGCCTCTGAACTGGGGCTTCCCTCTTCAAAAGGGCCAGGTTGGATTGCAGAGTTGTGGGAAGTATATGCTGTTGCAAACTTCTCCCTCATGCGCTTCTGTCTGAGATATCCTTAACTAAGGAATACTCCTTTGTTAGTGACAAAGT